ACACCTGACCCAAGCCATGGTATTTTCAATAACCTCATATGCATGTTAAAGCTGGACAGTGAATAAGGAAGACCATAGAAAAATTGATGCTTTTGAGTTATGGTGTTGGAGGAAAATATTGAAAGTGCCATGGGCTGCCAAATTGGATGGCGTGCAGCCAGAGTGCTACTAGGAGGCCAGGATGGCCAAACTTCGTCTCTCATACTTCAGACATGTCAGGAGGGATCAGTCTCTGGAGGGTCAGAGAAAAATAGAAAGACCCCCAGCGAGATGGATTGGCCAAGTGGCAGCATCAATGGGCTCAAGCATGGCAATGATAGTGAGGTTGGCCCAGAATCGGGCAGTGTTTCATTTTGCTGTGCATAAGGTTGCTATGAGTCAGTACTGATTTGATAGCACCTAACAACAACAACAACAACCTCGAATGACAACAGAAAGAAAAATACCCACCTTAGTCAGTGAAAGTTCAGAGGAGAATACTCTCCAATCAAAAGGAGATCATTTTGCAAACTAGCAAGAAAAACACCCTTCCCTGGTGATGGCAAGGCACAGAGGGGGAAATCAGAGTCAGTATAATTCTAAGCAATACATGCTGGCCTCTTGCCAACCTGAGAACCATGGATGCTGTTATGAATGCCAAACTCAAACTCCAGTCCTTGAAAATCCCCTGCTAGCCCCACACTGAGGGATAATGCAGCAGAGAAGAACACATCCTTCATTTTAGCAGCATTCTTTGCTGTGTTGCATTTCCAAATATCTCAGAACCCAGATTAGAGCATAATTATATATATGCTATCAGCACAATTTATCTCTAAACTTTACAAAGCTGTCAGGCAGTTTCAGGTCAATTTCCTAATAAATTACATGGTTGTTCTCAGTGAGGCAGTTTACCTTGGACAAAACGTAATTTCTGGGCCATGGCTTTCCGGAGGGCCCCGTCAAGCAGAAGCAATCTGTGCAGAGCTGGGTACCCGGGCAGCATGTGCAGCGCATTCTGTAATCTTTGTAGATGAAGTAATCTGAGACAAAAACAAATAAATGAAACAAGATAGAGAGGAATTCAACGTGTCACCCAGGGAAATGAAAATTCTGCTCATTAAGAAGATTCCACTGCTTTTGGAAGTGTGCTCAGAGATGAAAGTTCTACTTCATCATATTCATGTAGCCATGTTCTTAATGAAAAGCACTGCTTTAATTAGATTGTTGTTATTAAGGACTGTCGAGTTGGTTCCTACTCATAGTATTTTAGGATAATTTTAGATATTCAATTTGAATTAAACTTTATTCTTTACCTAAAAACTGTGACATATACTACTAGTATTGTATAGAAGAAAGTTTCAGGTCAGATTTTAAAACATTTGCCTCACAGCTTCCAGTTATAAAGCATAGAAAAAGAATTTGAGAAAAGTTTCAGAATGTTGAGCAGTTATGTAAAATGCCATCAAAGTAGTCCTGATTTGGGCAAATTAACAACATCTCTATGATTCTCCAAGGCCAAAGGAAGGACAAGTAAGTAGCCAGGCAACTTGGTACCAGTATTTCCTGGAGCATCTGGAAAAAGAATTCAGACATATTGAGGATGCCAGAGGAACTTCAACTGGTTATTTGTCTCCAAGACTATGTATGCTTTCAAGTTGTCAACATTAAAATCAAGACAGAGAGGATTTCCAGCAAGATGCAGACTAGTCAAACATGCTAGACAGGCCCTCTACAACAAAGATATGAAAAACCTAATGAACTAGATTTAGATGATAATCCTGGAATCCTAAACTTCAGAGGAAAGACTAGAGAAGTATGATGAATCCTGACTTGGAGAAGAAACTGAACTGAAGAAGCAAGAAAGGAGACAGACAGGTGAACTGTTAACTGGCATGACTCGTTATGACCATTTTGAACTTTTGCTGGCAGCATTGATGTGGATGCACACTATTCGCTGGCAAGGATTCTCTCTTGTTTCCCACACTTTCCTGGTAACTAGAGGTGTTACTAGCCCCACCCTCATCCACCCCCAGCATAGCACATACTATAACAGAGGTCTACCACCCTAGAACTCACCCTCTTCAGACCAACAGAGCACATAGAGCTGACTCTTGACAAAAACGCTCATAACCACTCACACTGCCCTGTGCTTCGGCATACGGGAGCAACATTATTAAAACTTCATAGATATTATTGAACTCCTTAAGGAAATGATTTGCTGGGCCTGTGGACTCAAAATCATTATCTTATGGGGCATCATAGTCAAATAGCATAACATAGTTCACAAAGACAATGTTCTATATCCTACTTTTGTGAGGAACAATTGGGATCTTAAAAGCTCATGAGTAATCATCGAAGGTTCAATTGTTGGTGCATCCGTTCTGGAGGAAAGAAAAGTGATGAAAATTGAGGACACTTGGAAACAATTAGTTCAATGAATTAATGGACCCATGAACATCAGTCTCTATGATGCTGAGACCAGAAGAACTAGATGGTGACCAGCTACCATGACCACTTCTCTAAAAAGGGATTGCGTTATATAGAGTGGGAGAAACTGTGGAACAAAAATCAAAATCATAAAAAAGAATACCAGGCTTACTCGTCAGGTAGAGACTATAGAATCCTGAGACTATGGCCTTTTGTCATCCTTTAGGTCTGGAACTGAATTAAGCCCTGTGGCTCATTTTCAACTAAGCAATAGAAAGGTATATAGCAGGGACAACACTAGCAAGGTACACACATCATAGAATTGTCAACCATTCGAGGCAAAAGGATAGCATTTACCTAAGGACAAAATTTCGAAGGTTTGAGAAAGAAGGACCAGACATGGGAAACACAGGAAGAAAGTGGGATAGGTAATGTTAAATTGGGGGGATTGTAATCATTGAGATGAAACAAAGCATACGATTTGTTCAATGTAAAATGATGATCTGCTCTGTAAACCTTCACTCAATTTACAATAGAAAGTTTTTGTTTGTTTGTTTTTTTAAAAGTCAGACAGAAAAGTCTTCAGGGAGCTATCTCAAGGACTTCCAAGTGGGAGTTATATTACTCCCCTGCCTGAGTGTCCACTGGGTAGGAAGAGAGGATGAGGCTTGAAAGACTCTCCTCCTCTAGGCTCTAGTCAGTTTAGAAGGATGACATGTTACTGGAGAGTGTGAGGAAGCAACTAGATAATAAACTGGGAAGAAAATATCTCTGGGAAAGAGAAGGAATGGAATTCACCATTAAATGTTAGAGAGTTGAAGATTAAGATGTGATTTGTAGAATTGTCCCAGAGCAAGGGAGTCTGTAATGTCTGTCTTTGTATCAAGTGCATAGAATCTTCGACGCAAGAAAAAGAAGTTAAAAGTAGAAGAAAACAGAAACCAATGCTACAGAAGCCCAAGCAAAATAATTTGATAGAGGATGTAGTAATGTCACAGAAAATTTTAGTTCCTGTTTCACTTGGAACCTTTGAGCTCCTTAATAGGATTCTTTTTTTTTTTAGTTTTTATTGTGAATTGAGTGATAGTTTACATGTGGGAACATCAGTTTTACACTCATCATTTCATTTGCAATGATTACAATTTCCTCTGTGCATCATCATTCAATAGTATTTGCTTCTATTCCCTCGGTTTGGTTTGGTTTTGTGGGGTAGGGGATGTACACAAAAACACTCAAGAATATATAATCATTTAAACAACCAAAGGACACATTCTGCCA